CTTCATCTTTGGCGCAACAACCTCATGATAGGCCAAGGCCCTCTGCCTTCTGGCATACTTCGAGACAGGAGATGTTTCCTTTTTACGAGGCAGGGTTGTCAGCCCCACATCCAAAATCATATTAGACCGGGACCTACTGCTTAAAGTGGATTACCACTACAAACATCCACGGCACCACCACGACTCGAACCCGAAACCTTTGGCATCAAGCTTCCGTGAGCTAGACACTCTGCCATCAGACCCACACCAGTTTAAAATATATTGGCTCCTATTAAATTCTAATCTAATTTTTCAGCTACCAATTTAATCACTTTTTTTTAAAAATGATTTTCTTTCTAGATTATTTAACATAATGTGTATAGAAATATTTTTTATGTAAATTATTATATCTAATGAGTTTCATGCAAAATTATACACTTATATGAATTTATTTTTACCCTCTTTGCTTGAAATCAAATAACAAAACATTATTTTCTGAAGTAAGCTTCGCACTTCCTGCTCTATGTGTATCGGATTTAATATAATGGATAAATATCTGAATAACCCCTAAAGGTTGCCTCCTCACCAAAAGAGAATACTTCACGCTTCATGCTCTGTTAGCTCAGCTCTAATCCAAAGAGATGGACGGGCTTTGTATTCAGTGTAGACCATTTTTGTTCTTCGTATATCCAGTTTCTTTCTTTCTTTCTTTTTTTCTTTTCTGTAGCATCCTATCGCCATGAAAAGCAAGAGGACACTGTCTTCTATAGAAGGATGATTTGACAATGCATTAATCGCTTAATTCTTCTCCAATGCGAGAGGTCTTTTCTTTGCAGAGGAGAAAAATTTGCAGTAAAAACGCCCCTGGTAGAGAACACGTCGTTTTCTCTTAGTGTGTTTGGATAACGAAAGAGTGTTCAGAAAAAAATGGGGAAAGAATTTTGGTGGATGGCTCAAATGGAGTTTTTCCTCTAAGTTGATAGTTTGTGGAAAGAGAGAGAAAGTTTCCAGTTGAAATATTTACATACAGATTCATAGTTTGTTTCTATAATGATAGAGAAAGAAAATCCGTAATGAATTTGATTAAGGATGAAAAAAAAATGTTGAAGAGGTTGTTAATTTTTTTTTCTTTTTATGTATTATGACACTAGTTGGATTAAAAGTATTTTTATATTGGATATTATAAATATGGACCTGAATCACAAAGTGCACTGCTCTGGCACACGGTGCCATAAGTTTTGGGTTCGAGTCTCGGCGGCGCCTTGGACGTTTGTAGTGCCATGGAAACCTTTTTTACAGTCATATGAGACCGGAATCCCTTCATATGACTGTAAGAGTCTCTGTCTCATATGACACTAAGAGCATCACGAAGCCAAGTCAGTCTTCTACCTACGGGTGCAAACATACCTATATATATACATGTATATAATAAGTTTTAACGAAATTCGTCTATCAATAAATATACGATTGTGTATTTTAGATAAATAACTAATGAAAAACGCATTTGTCAAAAGATAATTAACAATGGAAAAATTTAATGCAACTTACAATTAACCCTTATAAATGAGACTTTTCTATACGTTAATTTAAACATTTTTATTTGCCTTTTTAAAAGTGTTTTAAATGGTGCATTAATTGTAAAATTATTTTTTAAATGCTAAATATGCTTATTTATAAACGGGAGGCTAACTTATTAAACGATTCAATGACAAACATTGTCCAATACAATCAATATACCTAACCTTAAAAAAATATACCTTAAGTGCAAAAATCCCAAGCTTCAAATAAAAGTTTAGAACTGGAAGTCTGAACTTCTTAGTCTGATTTCGGGTCGGAGATCAGAAGTAAGAAAAGTAATAAATATATATATAAAAGAGAAATATCTATTCCGAAGTCAGATTTCTGTCATATCTATGTTTGGACTTTTGACATAAAACCTTTTTTACTCCAGAGCAGTAAACTCTGGGAGCCTCAGAATCCTTAAACCAAGAGATTCGACTTCTTTTTTTCATGAATCATGCATTATATTTCTAAGAAAAATAGGGTCTTTCTCTGAAAATAAAGTCGAATACTTTCTTTAAGGGATTAGCTACTATGACTGCAGGGCTATCCTTTTCTTAAAATGGAAAATAGTTTTATTTAAAATTATTTCAATTCAATAATTATAAAATTTAACGTTTCATAATAACATCTATTATTATAAAATATATCTATACTTATAAAGTAATAAAGGATAAAATATGTATACTTATAAAGCAAAATATTTATTTGATTGTGCGTTTATCTATGTGCCTGTCCGTGCAAGGTAATTTAAAAATTAATTTAATTAAATGTTTGTATGTACGAGTTAACTTTAAAAAAAATGCCTGTACAAGTTAATTTAAATTTTAATTTAATTAAATGTCTATCTGTAAGAGTTAATTTAAAAAAATGTCTGTTTGTAATTAAAAAAATGTTAATTTAAAAAAAATATTTGCTTGTGCGAGTTAACTTAAAAAATGTCTGTTTGTAATAAAAAAAAGTTAATTTAAAAAAAATATTTGCTTGTGCGAGTTAAAGCGAGTTTAAAAAAGAACTGAAAGAATGCTGAAGAAAAGAAAAGAACTGTCTGTACAAGTTAATTTAAAAATTTATTTAATTAAATGTCTGCCTGTAAGGGTTAATTTAAAAAATGTCTGTTTGTGCAAGTTAATTTAAAAATTAATTTAATTAAATGTTTGTTAAAGTTAAGTTAAAAATTGTCTCTCTGTACAGGTTAATTTAAAAATTAATTTAAATAAATGTCTGTTCGTAGGAGTTCATTTTAAAAATGTCTGTCTGTACAAGTAAATTTAAAAATTAATTTAATTAAAAGTCTGTCTGTAGGAGTTAATTTAAAAAAAAAATGGCTTTTACTCCTTTTGGTATATTTGTCACATCACGTTTTCTTAAAACATTTATAGCATTTGAGGTTGAGGCATTTAAAAAAACAATTACAACAATTTAAAAAGAGATATTTTTTAAAAAACTGTAAGCCGAATGATACATTTCCAATCTTTTTTGAGATGACCCTGATTTAGTGTCCGTTTCCGTTTTTGATAAATTTTGTATCTTCATCTGATCAAAATTTCAACATAATATCTAAAAAATTAACAAAAATAACACATTATCTATTTATTTGAAAACTCTCTGTTTTCTATTTCAATTTCTACCTCAAAGCATTTTAAATAACTTTTAAACGATAGTTATAATAAAACGAAATAAAAATGAATTCTGGTCTAGAATTAGAAATCGAAATTTCTTGTTATGGTTTTTCAGTTGCTTAACAAGCAAAACAGATTGTGTTTATAATTCTACAAACAGTTTACAATACAGCAACACAATTACAAACAACAAACAATAATACTGAAAAATCCAATCCTTCTATCTAATGTGCAGCCAAAAATTATAAAAGGCATTCTTAATTGTTATTTTTTTAATTAAATAAAAACCTTAATGCTTTATTGTCAAATTAAGTTCATAACTATGTAACTCAAGAATAATCTGAGCAATTAACAATAGGAAATTACGTTATATCTTTCTAAGCGTTGTTACACGATCTGACATGAAAAATATAACACCAGTAAGATTTTGCTATGTAAATATACAAATTCTGGCGAATATACAGATGAACAAGTTATGGAAATGATTTGAAATAGAAGTTAAACGCGAGATTGTGGCGTGTTAGAAGAATAGAAATTTAAATACACCAATGAACGTACGAACTAACAGTCGCTACACTATGTTTCCTATAGAATCCAGAATTTTGAATTCTACTTTTTCTATTCTAATTCTACGTTTCAGAAGATACATAAGGATTAAGAGATGCCTGGAAGATGACAATGTAGGAAGTTCCTGTAATCAGAACATTTTACTCTCGTATCGCTGTTAAAAACGTACGCACTGTGTTTAGAGTTTTGGATCAGATGAATCAAAATGTGAATCGTTGCAAAACAGCAGGTACACAGGTTCACTAAGAAGTGCAACAGAATGCTTGGATCAACAGATCATAAAGAAAAGTGGTTCCACAATTAACTATTCTCAAGATCAACTGCAATGTTCAATTGGAATTAATGAACTGGAATGTTCAAGGAATTTTGGATATTCCAATGTTTCCAGCGACCACAGTTTCACGATGATTAGCGAAAAATGGCTTGTACACAAGACACCCTTTGTGAAGACTGCCATTGAAGCCAACCATAGGTGTTTCGCCAACTTACCGACGATGATACTTGGGAACAAACCACTGAGAAAATCAAATGGCAAATCGAATCGTTCAGTGACGAATAATAGTCTACGAGTGAGAGTCTGGATGTGTCGGTAAGATAGATCACCATTGTTGAACACTATATCACTTGTCAACGTATCGTAATTGTTTGGGATGCTATCAGACGTGATAGCAAGTACATCCTGGTATACATAAGAAGCACAGTGATGGTGCTGCGTTGAGGAGATACTGCAGTTCGTTGTGCTACCTTACATTCAGTGGCTGAAAAATGGTATTTTCCAGAAAAGCAAGCAACAGCACACGACATTCATCAGTAGATAAACCTTGCAAAATGGCCAGTTACTTTCTTGGCTGGCAATGTTTCCTGATCTCTCACAAATAGAACATATTTGGACCGTGATTGGAAATAGTGTGTCTGTTCTGCCGAACCTTAATAGGAGGAAAAACTGTAGATAGTTGGAAGTATATGAGCTTCCAGCTCTCTGGACACTATTCATACGATAATTGAATCTGTACCACGTAGGGTTGGTACTTGTATAGTCGCGAGAGGTAGTCCTACTTCCTCCATATTTCATCGCTGTAAAACCTTATCTTCTTGTAAATAACATACGTATATTATAACATATGCACATAACGTATGATTTACATATGCGCTCTCTGTCTGTGTACAAGTTTTTTTTATCATATTAAACCCAGTCTGTTGCCTTTTCTATGTCGGAAAAAAAGTATTTTTATTCCTTAATTCGTATTTGTTGTTTTTAGATTTTTATCAGCCAACGGCCATACCATGCTGAATATACCGGTTCTCGTTAGATCACCGAAGTCAAGCATCATTGGGCGCGGTCAGTACTTGGGTGGGTGACCACCTGGGAACACCGCGTGCTGTTGGCATTCACACATTTGGGACCTGAATGGCCGAGTGTCTAGCGCTCGGTGCCACAGGTTTCGGGTTCGAATCCCGGCGGTGCCATGGATGTTTGTAGTGGTTCGGAATCCACTTTAAGCCGTAGGTCCCGGTCTCCTATGACAGTAAGAGCGTCACGGAGCCAAAAGTCAGACTTCTACCTACGGGGTGCTCCATCACAACAGAAGCTGCTTCCTTCCCCTTCAATCATGAGTACGTGTGGGCTTGGCCAGCCAAGTGGGATAAGAAGCAACAACAACAAGATTTTTATTTATTCATTTTTTAAATTATAAACTAAAATTTATTTGACGTCTGCTTTTTGTTTATTTTAACATTCAGAGTGACATTTATACATCCAAATGCTAGGCAGATTTTTTTGGTCAGATCTCTTTCTTAATTATGTATAGATACGAGATGATTAATTGTAATGAAATTATATACTATATTGAACATTTTGTTGTTTTTAAACAAAACTATTTATATAAAATATATAATAGCGTTTACTGAATAGAGTATTGCGGAATCATATCTGTTACTGTATAATATAAGGCAATACTTATTTCTTATAATGAGCATGATACAACTTTTTTATTGAGCATATTTTGTAACCGTTTTTTTTTCATTTCGCTTCTCCCATTGCTTAGCTAAAGACGGAATTTCGATAAATCAAGGGTATTTGTCTTGTAGCGTCGTCGGATTCATTTTTTTTGTTTTTTTTTGTGAGAAATCGATCTTAGGATTCGTGCCAATAGTTAACCGTGTTGTTATAGTTTGACTTTTACCCAATAAAGAAACATTATTTCATTCAGATCGATTGTCATCCAATCTCAGCAGACCAAATGTATTTAGCTCAAATAATCAAACACTACTTTTTTTTTTCTGATCTATTTATGAAAACATACTTTCAGGATTTATCATAAAATACATTTAGTATACCGAACATTTATGAGCGTGGTTTGAGAAAATTAAATATTTATTTTTATTGATAATAGATATTTAATTTATATCCTCATGTTAAAGTTGCTCATCTTTTGTTATGAAGTCATTACTACTGAAGGAGTTGGCATCAGAAATTTCTTAAAACCATCATCACTATTACATTGTCTCTGAAATGCTTTCACTAATTACCAGGAATAATTAATGATAATAAATAAGTATTAGCAATTCGTAATGGTTTTGATAACCATGCAGGATTAGATGCATGTTCATTATTTAATTCTTAGAAACTGATTCTTTCGTTATTATATTAAAAATAACTCATAATCATCATAATCGGCGCAACAGTTCCATAATGGGCCAAGGTCGCTTGCCTACTGGCAGATTTCGAAACAGGAGTTGTTTCCTTTTTACAGTGTAAGGTTGTCATCCCTACACGCAACACTCTACAGTCTTATAAGATAGGGACCTACGCTTAAAGTGGACTCCGAACTACTATAAACAACAATAGCACCCCCGGGACTCGAACGAAACCTGTGGCACGAAGCGCCAGAACGCTAGTCACTTGGCCATCAAGTCCCAAATAACAATGTATACTTATATACTTATATATATATACACACACATACACATATATATATATATATATACACACACATACACATATATATATATATATATACACACATATATATATACACACACACACATATATATATATACACACACACACACACACACACACACACACACACACATATATATATATATATATATAATCTTCTTCAATGGCATGGCAGCTCCATGGTGGGCCAAGGCCTTCTGTCTATTGGCAGATTCCGAAACATGATTTATTGTTTTCTTTTTACGATGTATGATTGTCAGGCCTATGTCCAACGCCCAACACTCTACAGTCATATTAAACCGACATCTACGGTTCTACGGTTTAAAGGGGATTAAGAACCACGGCAAATAACTATAGAACCACCAGGACTCGTACTCGAAACTTGTGGCATTCGTACCCGAAACATGTGGTACCGAGCACCAGAGTGGTAATCTCTTGGCCATCAGGCCCCAACTTTTTATATATATATATATATATATATATATACATTATATATATTTCATACATATACATACTTTATAGATATATTATATTTTTTTTTCACTATCTTATATAAAGTATTTGTATGCATTTTATACAAATAACCATGTACGAATATATTTGTATGTTTTTTAATACATAGGCATATAAAAATGTATTTGTATCCATTATCTGCAAGCATTTCTTACTATAAATCACTTTTCAATCTACTTCAATGTCATCATTGCAATATAATGTACGTGTTGAAACTCCAGTGATACGAAAAGATATTAAAAAAAAAAGTCACGATGCTATTCCAATCTTAATAATCGGAAATCGCCATCATTTCTCTGATTACCAACTATTTTTACAAATCGGCAAAATCATTAGGTCCCGATAGACTCTGCAGATAAGGGACTCGAGCTTAACCGAGCTCCGAGTGTGGTTGTTGAGAGTTAATGTTCGAATCCCCCTCGATGCCATTGTTTAATAAGATAAGCCTTTTCATGCCTCATTCGGTAATGGACTCATAAATTACGCACGGCCCTCGGAACGCTGTTGGGCAATCTAGTTTTCCGACTTGCGATGGATTTTCGCGGGAGTTCCAATTACTGTAGGGTTTGCGCTTCCCTGCTGCCAGATTCCGAAGTCTCAACTCGTTAGTTCGAGGATTCTGTGACGAGAAGGGTTGGGGGGATTAGAGTCACGCGATGGGTTTTAATATTTGGTTAGGTTGGTTCGAAAAAGAAATTGTCGTCTGCATCTCTGTCTCTCTCTCTTTAGTTTTTGGTGGGGTTCGTGTTGTGGATGCTTTTTGTTATTTTGGGGGGAATTTTCAGATGTTATAGTTAGAGTTGGCTTAATAATAACAAGTAATATAAAAAAAAATTTTAATGTCAATTCCTACTTTTTTTTCACTATAGTGCAGAAAGTCCTATATAAATAATTTTCATTCATTTTTTTAAGTTTATCTGGCGCCATCTATGGGTAGATATATGCAAATTAAACCTAAAAAAGACTAAATTTAATTAATGAATATTTGAAAAAAACTGTATTACCATCAAGTGTCATCCACTACAAGTTCAAAAGAAATGTATTTGAATTTGAGTGGATGAACAAGAAGTATTTTATGAACGATTGAAAATTTGAACAAGATATATATATAGGGAGAGTGTAAGCTAATAGAAGGAATTGAATAAAAAAAATAATTTTGGAAGAAAGTAATTTTTTTATATAAAAGAGTGATGTTTTGAACGTATTATGTTAATCCCTTTGTTTATCTGTCGATAAGTTTAATACAAATATTGCTTTTAAAAATTTAAACCAATATTTTATTATGATTTTAGCTTTAATTGATTGTGGGTTATTAAAAGACATCCTAATTTATAACGCATGTTTTAGAATTATTGGAAATATAGAAATTATGAACTATTACATGATTGTGCTATAAGAGAAATCAAAAAATTTTAAGTTCTATAAAACTTATATTTGATGTATTAATCAACTACTACTAATGATACTACTGATACTATTGATACTATTCTACAACAATTGATACTATTGATACTACTCTACAACTATTGATACTACTGAAAATGTGGAAACAGTATTATTGATCCTATTTTAATGTATTCATGTTTTCTTAAGATAATTTATTGATAAAAAGTGGGTGATTGATGTGTCTTCGATTATTGTCTCAGCGTAATTGGGTATAGTGTTGATTTTGACAATGCGTGTTTTGATGTTGACTGGTAGACATTGTTTCCCGGGTTTTCTTCACATGTAACAAGAATATTGGATATTGTCTCTTAAGAAAAAAAATTGTAAATAGATTTGTCTCAAGTGAATGTTTCTACACAAACTTCAAATTCATCTTAGTAGGATTTATTTCTTTGCTACCCGGTTTCTAAGTCTCGACTCGTTATTTGCAATTGCTGTTACTGAGATAACATCAGTTTATTTAAATTGATAAACTAATAAAATGCCGGTTCGAGTCCAGGCGATGCCATGTATGTTTGTAGAGGTTCGTAATCAACTTTATGCCGTTAAATCCCGGTCTAATATGACTGTAGAGAGTTGAGTATGGGGCTGACATCCCCACCCCGTAAAAAGAAAACACTTATTTCGAAATCTGCCAGTAGGCAGACGATGGGGTTATCGCGCCAATGAAGAAGAATGGAATGTCAAGTATCTGTACTAGTTTCCAATTTCAAGAAAGGAAGCTTTAAATCAATTAAATTGCATAAAACTTTCTTATAAACCATTACTCAGATACTTGTTGTGAATTTCAGACTTTGTTAAAATTTAAAATTGTTGAAATTTTAAATAATTTCCTTTTAAAAAATTCAATTGAAGAATATTTATATCTTTGCACCATTATCTTAAGATATTTGTAGTTGTGTATTGGTCCAATACAAAATTTATGGGTAATCCCGAAGTATACAAATAAATACATTCTATAATTTATATGTACACAGGAAATGTTCATAAATTTATGAATTACTATACGTATAATGTTTTAAAACCTACATTAATATAATGAATGCTGATGTTATTTAAAGTACTGAATTTTTTAAAAATTTGACTGTATTGATGGGCGCTCGGTGCAGCAGGTTTCGGGTTTGAGTTCCGGCGGTGCCACGGACGTTTGTAGTGGTTCAGAATCCACTTTAAACCAGAGGTCCCTGTCTAATATGATTGTAAAGCGTAAGGCAACCCTACCAGTAAAAAGAAACTATCTCCTGTCACGAAAACAGCCAATAGTCAGGCGCAATTGGCCGACCATAAGATTGTTGCGCCAATGAAGAAGAAAAAGAAGGATTCCCTGAATTATCGATTTCCAAACTGAAATAACCAATAGAACACTATAAAAAAAATCATGTATAAACAATATTAATATTAATAATTTAAATATTAATTTCTTTATATACTTTTTTTTTACTTTCGATATACACTTGACAATA